TTCATAACAAATATAATTTTTGACTTACCTTTTAATTCAGACCTTGTAATGATTGTAAATACGGTTTTAGTACTTCATTAATAAATAAAATAAAATTTCATTTATTCAACACAATTATTTTCTGAATTTTTTATATATAAACCTGGCTAGATTTAAATTTACTTTGTAACAAAAACTCTATATGATGGTGGCTTAAATAACTTCAAAATAAGGGTATCATTAGCACTGATGGCATGTAAATGTACATTGAATATTTTTTTGGTCTACAGCATGTCTTGAGTCGAGAATCACTGCTCTAATTTATGCAATGTCTGCAAACATTTTGTTGTTAAAGCCGAGATAAGTGCTTTGATTTATTGAATCCTACTTGATCTCGTTTTCTTACGAACGATGAAACTTTCTCTAAAGTTTTTAGTGGCAATGGTTAGTTGATGCTGAGTAAGTCTGAGACAAAGTCAATAATCCCCTAGATTTTTATTGTACTGTGGCATGTTACGAAATTTTTTATTTAGAAAACGCAACTCAAGAGGTTTTGAAAAAAAATTTAGGACAAAACATTTTTTATATAAATTAAAATTATCTACAACTGTAATAAAATATATAGTAATAAGACCAAAATTTTAATAACAAAAAAAAAATAATTATGCGTTTCTCACAAAAAATTAGCAAATACAAAAAACGTAAATGTTATATTTAGTTTTTAACTTTTAATTGTGAAGACCCAAGAAATAATTCAATTACAAATCAATAATCATTTTATAATATTCGGTGTATAAATATATAAAAGTCTTAAAATTTACTTTCATAATTTCTTAATACCATAGACATGAATCCTCTGAATTCATCTGCATAACTTTAGCGATAGTCATTTCAAAATCTTCTTGAGTAAATGCACACCACGCCCACGCAATGCGTACATACCAGCTTCTATACAAACGCCTTTAACTTCTGCACCAGAAGTTCCCGATATAAGCTCAGTTTTTTTACGCAAATTAATGCAGCGGGTCAAGTTTATTTTACACAAATGAATTTTGAGAAAATCTAAACAAGTTTCTTCTTTTGGTGAGAGAATTTCACTTTTTTATAATCGATTTATCCTTTTTTACAACAGCTCTAAATATTTCGGAAGAATATCCATTTTGGCATAAAAGCTCGCGCTAAATAATCAAACTGATAATTTATGTTATTTACTGAAATTATTTCATAATTACCTTTGGATATTCTTCTAGGAATCTCTTTATCAATATGTTAAGACAAATATTTAATTAAATTAATTCGAAAAATTGCATAAATAAAAATGCTTCATCAATTTGCTTCGCTATTGCAAAATATGTAAACAAAATTCTGAAATCAAACATATTCACAGCTGATATAAGCTGTCAAAATGTAACTCGCACACTTTTTTGGGCTAAGTGGCTAAATGTGTGCAGTGTAAAAAATCCCAAGAAAAGTCCCATTTGGTTTAGTATCAACTTAGCCTAACTCGCACACGTCCATAAGGGCTGTATGTTTCGTGTTCACATATTTAAAATAAATTAAAGATGTTGTTAAATATTATATTATATTACTATGTATTGTAACGACACACTTTCTGTCGCTGATGATGCTGAGGTATACTCAGCCGTCGTCCAGGGGTCGTTGCAATAGAATTTTTATTTTGAAAGTCAAAGACAATGTGATGTAGTAATTCAATTATTTATTTAGGAGAATTTAAAATAAAATAAGGTTTTACAATCTAATATAATTATAATATAATATGGTTTGCTAATTTGATGACTACGATTATTTGGAATAATTGTGCTTCGATGATTGTTCCGATTATTGTTTCCATGTGCCTGAAATGTTGCTGTCAGACGACACTACTTGTGCTAATCTTGGTGTTTTGTCAGAAGACGTCGTTAACTGGAGATTAAAAGTGTTATGCTGGGTTACAGCCTTGGTTTGCATTCATTAATGTTAGGACGTATTACTGCCCTAACTCAAACCTACAGAAAATCCTACTAGTCAAGATGTATCATGACTACCTTGGCTTGATTTACATATAAGACTACATATACAATCTACTTGTCAAGACGTATATACTACCTTGACACTATAGTTCTACTGACTTGTTTCGCAAAGACGTATTACTACCTTTGAGAGTTTCCCAACAAGTGCCCTTGCTTGTACAATGTGCGTTTATTTATACTCAAACGACCGAAGCTTTTCCTGTAGCGCATCGGTACATTTGCCGTTGGTATTTTTGATACTTGTTGTCTTTTGCTGCTGTTGTTCGCCTGGGTGTAATTTCTGTGCTTTGTGTTTTCGTGTGTTCTTAAATTCGCCGTGCTTTGTATTTAGTTCAACCAAAGCTTTCATGCTTTGACATTTCTTGTTTTGTTTACAAACGTGTTTATGCCGGTGTTTGTGATTTATTATTTATTAATAAATTTATTTATTTATAAATATTTTTTATTATTAAATATTTATATTAAATAAATATTACAAATATTAAAGGTGAGTGTATTATTTATTTGTTTAAATATATTTTATATTACTTGCATTTTCAATGTAATCTCAGGTTTGTTCATTTGGTGCAATTACGTGCATGCGGGGGTGGGTTTATGGTAAGTTGTTTACGTTTTATATTTACAATAAAAATTAACCAGTTTTCATTGTAGATATTAACTCCACAGTGATTGTATGTAGGTTGGAAATTAGTTAAAATTTCCATCCTTACAGTATGAATAATTTGTTTGTATTATTTTGTATGAATAATTTTATTTATATTATTTTGTGTTGTAATAATTTCATTTCAAATATATTTTGTTGTAAAAAGTAATTTTGTCAATGCAATGCCCAAAAAAACGTCTTACGCTTTTGTTTGCTCATGAAAACAAAAGCGTCAAATTTCGTCTGCAAGAAAATGCACTCTTGCAGTTTGTAACAAGTTAATTGTTTGGCATGCATGGTCAAGGTTATTTTAGTTAATATATTTGTTGTAAATTGATTATTAATTTTAAATAAAAGGCACAATTGAATTTTTGACAATTCCATTGATGCGAAGCCACATTCGTTATTGATTCATTTCTTTAGCTTTGTAAATTTAGTTCAAGTGCTGAATTTACGTCACATAAGCGCCTATTCACTGGATTTAAGTATTCTGTGACTAGGATAATTAGGACAATCGTCGCAATCTCTTCGGCTTTCTTGTTTAAATAGAATCAACATAAGTACTGGATTCAAGTGTTCAGTGCTTGCAAATAGTTGATTCCAACGTTGATCACACATTTTGATTTGATCGTACATATGTTGCAGCAAACGGAACCAGCAAAAACCGCTAGCGCGCCAAATATATTCCAGCAAAACTGAATTTTTTTGCTGAATTTTCGCCTTAAAAAGAGCATTGGACTTTATGGAATGAGAGATTGGAAATTCATTTTGCCGAGATTAATTGCACGGAAGAGAACATAAAAAAAGCTTCTTTATTGAAAAATATTGGATCAGCTTCATATGAACTATTGCATAACTTATGCAGTCCAGCATCATCTATATCAAAAACGTATGAAGAGTTGTGTGCAATTTTAAAAACACAGTATACTTCACCAACTATAATTTTTAGAGAACGTAAAAACTTTCACAGTGCAGTGCAGTCAGAAATAGAAACGGTGTCAGAGTGGTATGCAAGAATAAAAAAATTAGCTTTAACATTTAAGTTTATCAGCTTTTCGGTTCATCATGGGCATAAACAACAAAATTTTTGAAGGACTATGTGAGGAAGATGAGAAACTTACAATTGAACTGGCACTTAGAAAAGCAGTTATTATAGAGCTTAGGTTCAGTGATTCAAAAAGTTATAGTAACAATGTCAATTACATTAATAATAATAATAATATAAAACCTAAATATAACAAAATAAGTGGGAGTTGCAAAAATATTCAGAACAAAGTGTGTTTAGGATTAAGATACGAAAAGGTACATTGTATTATGGCATTTACATGTTGTAATCATTAATCGTGTTACAGATTTTTTAAGCTCAAAATAAAGATTGCTATTTAAAATTGTCGAAAGTGTATTTATATACTTATTTTTGCAACAAGAAAATCTTAAAAAATCTTTATAATATGGAAAATGATAATGACGTGGAGCTGCCTCTTCATAAAGGTTTAACATCAGCAGCCATACTTGAAGTTGGAGATGCAGATGGTGATGATAAAATCTCACACAAACACAATGAGGATGATGGTCAACATAGTAGACAACAGCAGCAGCCCAGCGCCAACATTACTCGTATAAAACAACTTAAGTTGCAACAACTAGAAGAGTCGTTGCAGATCAGGGAGAGCTATTTGCGGGAAAAATTTAAAATCCTCACTGCAGATAGTGACGACGAGGGTATCGTGGAATCACATTTGCCTGAAGTTGGGCAATTACCTCAACTTAATGCACATCAAGCCGTAGCTGATGAACACTTTTCGCCACATGGCCAACCTCATCTGCAGAGTACACCAAGGTTAGTAAATAATCCATCTCTTTATACCTTACAGATCGCTTCCACGCTTACGCCGTCTCAGCTAGCAGCGCGTCAATGCATACCGAGAGATTTGCCTACGTTCCGCGGCGATCCAGAAGAATGGCACATTTTTATAAGTGCGTACGAGCAAACTAAGCAAATCGCAGGTTTCTCCGATTATGAATGTCTAATGCGCTTACAAAGGTGCCTCATTGGTAAAGCGCGCGATGTAGTACGCAATATGTTGGTGTTGCCTAATATGGTTGAAGAAATAATAAACACTCTTCGTATGTATTTTGGACGACCAGAAATTATTTTAAATAAATTAATTGAGAAAATGCGTCAGTTACCGCCTCCAAGGGGTAGGCTGGGCGATTTAATTGACTTTGCAGTCAACATTAATAAATGTAGTTGCAACAATTGAGGCATGTAAGCTGAATAGTTATTTTAATAATCCACTCTTATTACATGAGCTAATAAGTAAATTAGCTGAAGATATGGAGCTCAAATGGGCACTACATTCAGCATCAATCCTACACTTCGCGATTTTTCAGCGTGGCTCTCATCTTTAGCAAATGCGGCAAGTAGAGTAGCTACACCTTCTTTTTTAGATAAACCACTAAAAAAGGAAGGACGAGTGCACATACATCAGACAGCTGAAATAACAACCACGGCAGTTAGGTGTTACATTTGTGGCGGCGGACATAAAATAATGGAATGTGAAATATTCACGAACGAGCCTACCAATCAACGCTGGCGCATTGTCAAGGAAAAGAAGCTGTGCCGACAATGCTTAGGCGAGCATAGGCGTCGCTGTTTCAGTAATAAAGTGTGTGGCATTGATGGCTGCAATGCACGACACCACCCCATGCTGCATTCTCGGATAGACCAATCTACGTCAGCAATATCTTCTACAGCTAACAATGTTTCATCGGATATAGTAGAACAGATAAGTTTAAGTCCATACTCAAACAAAGCGTTACTCAACAACCATAATTTATCAGTGAATAAAAAAAACTGGTCATATTGCCGAACTCTTCCAGTAACTTTATATGGCACCAAAAGGACTATTAACACATATGCATTGATGGACGATGGGTCAACACTAACGCTTATTGAAGCAAGTCTAGCCGATGAATTGGGAAACGATGGTATCCAGGATGCGCTATGCATTAATTGGACAGGTAATATCAGTCGACAGGAGAATAACTCAAAAAGGCTCAACTTACAAATTTCTGCCAATGCTCCTCAAGCTAAAAAATTCCCATTGAAAAATGTCCGCACAGTAAGCAACTTACGCATGTCAGCAGAATCTTTTGCAGCTGATAAAATAAAACAAGGGTATCCGCATTTAGATGGCTTGCCTCTAGCAAGTTATACAAATGCTGTCCCCATGCTGATTATCGGCGTAAATAATCCAAACTTAATTTCAGCACTTAAGGTGAGGGAGGGTGGCTGGCAAGAACCCGTGGCGGTGAAAACACGTCTTGGTTGGACAGTTTTTGGTGGTGGTGAATTAAACCACCGTAACAACTTAAACCTACACAAATGTAGCTGTGGACAAGAAGCTGATAGAGAGCTTCATGAGTTAGTAAAGACATTTATAGTAAACGAGAATGTCGCGGTGGCTACCCCAAAAGCAGAATTACTTTCAGTTGAGGATCAGCGAGCAGAGGAAATAATGCGCAAGTGCCAGTTACGCGGAAACCGCTACGTTGTCAATTTGCCATGGAACACCGATATGGTCGACTTGCCAAATAGCTTGCCGATGGCATTACGTCGAGCGGAGTGCTTACGTCGAAAAATGCATGGGGACCCTGAATTGTGTCAAAAGCTAAAGGAACAAATCACTACTTTAGTCAGCAAGGGCTACGCAACTGAGTTGCCACCAGAAGCAATTAACGAGCGAGGTGGGAAGATTTGGTATTTACCAATTTTTATTGTGCGCAATCTACTTAAACCGAAAAAGCATAGATTAGTTTGGGATGCTGCAGCCAAAGCTGAAGGAGTGTCACTAAACGATTTTTTGCTGAAGGGGCCGGATATGCTGCGACCACTTATAAACATATTATTAAATTTTCGTATAGGAAGAATAGCTGTCTGTGGTGACATTGCTGAAATGTTTCATCGAATTCTAGTACAAGAAGCAGATACTGATGCTCAGAGATTTCTATGGTTCAGCGAGACATTTAAAAATATTTGCGTTTATAAATTAAATGTAGTTAGCTTTGGTGCGCGATGTTCACCATATATAGCGCATTTTATTCGAAACCTGAACGCAGAAAGATTTATAGCTGAAAATCCTAGAGCAGTGTACGCTATTAAAAACAATCATTACGTGGATGACTTTATAGATTCAACAAATTCCATTAAACAAGCAATAGCATTAGCCGAAGCAGTTCGCAACATACATGAACAAGGTGGTTTCCATATGAGAAGCTGGACAAGTAATGCACCAGAAGTTTTAGCTGCGTTAAACGAAAATGGTGAACAGACGGGTAAGTCGTTTAATAATAATATCGACACACTTCCGATTGAAAAAATTCTCGGCATGTATTGGGACCCGAAGTCAGATTGCTTTAAATATGTTTTAAAATTCGTTCGTTTACGTCGTAATGTTTTTGCAGATGAAATTGTACCCACTAAAAGAGAAGTACTTCAAATTTTAATGTCCATTTTTGATCCATTGGGACTGGCAGCTTGCCTCACATCATATTTAAAAATACTTATTCAGGATATTTGGAGAAGCGGAATCGACTGGGATCAACCACTGGTACCCGATCTTATGGGCAAGTGGTTAGCTTGGGTTGCCTGCATGCCTATTTTTGTTAATATTTCTGTACCCCGTTGTTATTCACCATACATAACAGAAAGTTCATGTGATGTACAAATTCATACATTCGTAGATGCGAGTGAGTTTGCTTATGCAGCTGTATCATACTTCCGCATTAAAGATAAATATGGAGTAAGTACGAGGATCGTAGCAGCAAAAACCAAAGTCGCTCCAATGCGACCGATGTCTATTCCAAAAATGAAGCTACAAGCTGCTGTAATTGGCACATGGCTTATGAATACAATATGTAAAGTACACACATTTGATATTAAAAAGCGTTTCATTTGGAGCGACCGCAAAGCACTGAAAAGGTGGGGTGTTATAATAACTTGTTTGACTATCAGAGCCGTTCACATCGAGATCGCCCATAGTCTTAGTACTGACTCATGCCTAATGTGTTTAAGAAATTTTATTGCCAGACGAGGAGAACCTATCACCATCTACAGCGATAATGCAACGAATTTTCACGGTGTCGAGAACGTTTTAAGAAAGGAGTTAAAGAACATTGATTCCTCGGTTATGCAACACAAGCTAGCTCATCAAGGAATAGACTGGAAATTTAATCCACCGGCAGCACCACATATGGGAGGAGCGTGGGAGCGACTGATTAGAACAATTAAGACAGTGCTGTATCAAATTTCGCCATCTCAACGTTTTACGGATGAAAGTTTACGTACTGCATTACTTGAAGTTGAAATGATCATCAACTCGCGTCCTTTAACCTACGTGTCACTCGATAGTGAAGATGAGGATCCAATAACTCCAAACCATTTCTTGTTGGGGAGCGCTAATGGTTTGAAACCATTTTGTGATGCTAAGAGAATCGATCCAAAGATGTGCCTGCTACAATCTGAAATGTTTGCAAATCAATTTTGGCGACGATGGGTGCGTGAGATACTTTCGACATTAACGCGTCGCGGCAAATGGTGCATGCAATATGAACCGCCCTAATTACAGTTGGCACACATATGGTTGCCACAAATAATTAAATATAGTTTGACCTAGTATATAAGAAATTATATGATAACCAATAGAATTTAAGCATTAATAATTGTAAATAGATTTTAAGTAATAAACCAAGCTGACTTCGATCTCTATGAAGAAAATGAAGCCAGTCTTAGTTCAGTCTTAGTTCGATAATCTACAGATACTAACGTATCAGTGTAACCTCTCTAAGTATTTTTAAAAAGACAATATAACTTTAAATAAAATATCAAACTAAATACAAATTAAATAAAGGTGTTTTTATTTATTAAGAATGAAATAATTGACGTTACTAGTGGAGAAATTAAATAAAACAATTAACTTATTTTTACATGGCGATCCTGCCATTATTACATATTAACTTATTTTTACAATGCTATTACAAGTCATTTAAATATCATCAGTGTGGAAGAATTGGTCATTTAGCTTCAATTTGTAAAAAAAAATTAGAGTTGTAAATAAAGTATCTTGTACTGTCATATGGATATATTTCAACCATGACCTCACACAATGTACTGTGTGAGGTAATTATCTTGACAAGCTAACCCAAAACACTTGAAATGCGATTCGTATCGCATTTCCCAAAGTGCCAAATATAAAATAATTTATGAGTTGGAAATTCGACTCATACTATTTGTCATTTCTTTATGACAAACAGTTTCGTCGCATATTTAATTGTTTTTAATATACGCTTGACAAATTTAGGTTGAGGTTTGTAAAGCATGTTAAGTGTTTTCCGGGATCATATTGCAAGCAAGTATGCATGCAATATGATTTGCCCTAGTTACAGCTGGTGACCATATGTGTGCCACCGTAACACAAATTATAAAAAGAGTAAGACAGACCAATACATAATATTTATGATTAATACTAACCAATAGAATTTAAGCATATAAAGCAGAACGCAGATAATTATGTAAAGCGTTCTCAGTAAATAAGAAAACCGAACTTTCCTCGGTTTAGAAAATGAAGTACGAAGGCAGTCTCTTGACGGAAACCTAATTCGAAATATACTTATTCAAAACATGTAAAAATAAAGAAAATTAAAAACACTTTAAATATAGACTTTTAATTTATTAAAGAACACATCAAACTTATTACATGGCGATCCTGCCAAACTGGCAAAGGACCTAAACTATAAAAAGTGTAAAAACTGTTAAAAATAAAATAAACTTTAAACTTTTAATTAAATTAACTAAATAATAGTAAATAATGTGAATGAAAATAAATAATGTTCAAAGAAATTGTGAAACATACAAACTAGAATAAACGAATACCAATTAAACACGCGTTATGAATGTGACGTCAGTGAAATATTTTAATGTAGTATAATATAGTAAAACGTAATGATACTACTGCGACACTATATTCATATTTGATATCATCTGAGTAATATAAACAAAACATTTGTGTAATGAAGTTAAAGATATCTTATAAAATTAATTGAAAAAAAAAAAAAAGAAAAAAAAAAATGTGACAGTGTTCTCGAGCATAAGAAAATTTCAAAATTTTTTTCTTCTCAAAGCTCTAACCATATTATCATATACACTTTTCGTCGTATTTTTCGTAAAAATAATCGCTGTCAATTAAGCAACAAGTGAACAAAAATTCAAGGAGAAAACTTTCCAGTTAAGAATACAGCAAATTTCATCATCAACGACTCAACGATGGGATGGTTCTCCAGCGATGAATACAACACGAGGAACAACGTCCAACAAAAGACAGAGGTGACCAACAATAATCTACAAAACAATGCAGCTACAAGCACCGGAAATATAGAGGTAGTAATTATAACTTTATTGATAGTATTTATTATTTTATTCGTTGCATATAAGATAAATAAGTACATAAAAAAATATGTACATAAACGTGTACACACGGCATTAAATTCCAATAACGTTTAAACATTAGCATATCATTATATTTAGACAAATTATAATATTATTATATATATATTTTTTTTTTCTCATTGTTACATTTACGTAATTATTACATAACTATAATATTATACATTCAAAAAAATTTACAAAAAGATAATGAATTATATCTAAGAAAGAAATAAAAACAATCATAACAATTAATTACGATAAAATATCCATTATTATTATATAAAATTTTTTTTTCTCATACAAAATATAAAAAAAAAATCTATAAGAATTTGATTTGTGTTGAATTTTGCTTTCTTGTCCGATCTCGTTACTGATTTTGATTTATGGAAAACTTTGCTACATATATAGGGGAAGTTCAGAATATTCTTAAAAACGCCAAAAAGGCTAGTATCAGAGGATATACTAAGCCCACGATAGCCATTAAACTAAATAGGTTAGATGACCTTAAAAGGCTTATAGAAGCAACATATGTAACCAAAAATTTTGAGGAATTTTTAGCTTTAAAAGAAGTTTTTTTAGAAAAATATACTCAGACAAGAAAATATCTCTTGAATATGACATCAACTGAACAGACACCTGACGCTATAACCATAAATAACCACATAACAAGTGGTAATCAAAATAACAACGGCACACAAATAGCAAATATGGCGTCGTATGACTCTGTAATAGAAAGTGTAGAAAAACTCCTACCCGTTTTTACAGGAAAGCCAGAAGAATTAAGTTCTTTCTTGCGACGATTGAATTTGTTTAGCAAGAAGATTAGAGACGAAGACAAACAGGAGTTCTTAGAGCACATCGTAGATTGCAAACTCAACCACAATGTGAAGATAAGAGTTTCGCCAGTAGGTTTTCCAACTTCAATGGAAACATTGGTAGAGAAACTCAAGTCAATATACATACCGAAAGACACAGTTCCAATTCTCTTACAAAAAAATAAGTGAAATTAGCAAGGCCACAACCAGTCGATCACGGAATATAGTGATAAAATGGCCAAACTATTGTAAAGAACACATCAAACTTATTACAATCTAATACAAAAGTGAATGATCATATTAATAATAAGTTTTGTATCTACAGCATTAATCATAAAGGTGAGGATTCAACTGAATTGTACTCGGTGTCAATTAAACTTAACGAAATTTCGATGGATGTTGTCTGCGACTCAGGAGCTCCATGCAGTTTAATACCTAAATACATTTTAAACAAGTACAACAAAACTGTAAGTCTTAGAAATTGTAGTGATCATCATATTAATATTCACCCAGTACGGGTAATATATTGAAAATATTGAGTACAATGGAAAATTAACATAATAATAATGTCAATAAAAACTGCAGAAATTGGACATATAAAGAAATGTAATACCGCAAAGTCCGCTTGGACTGCGTTAAGAGAAATTCATCAGCCCTCTGGACCGGTAAGGCAGGTATCTTTATTTAAGAAAATACTATATATGCGCATGAGTGAGGGTGATTCCATGCAGCAGTATATTGCAAGTTTTGAATAGGTCATTAAACAACTTTCGGAAATTGGCCTTGAATTGCAAAAAGAGTTGTTTGTTATAATAATTTTAGCAGATTCACCAAAAAGTTACGAAAATTTTGTTGTTGCCTTAGAAACACGAGATCAGCTTCCAAAGCTTAGTGCTTTAAAAACAAAATTATTTAAAGAAACTGATCGACGAAAACATAACGAAATAATTTAATCAGACGGTACTGTACAAGCATTAGTTGCTACATCAGGACATAAACATCACAAAAAATTTTACAACAACGATCACACCAAAAGAAGTAGCGGAGGTAAGGAAGATAAGCATTTTAGAAAAAACAGTAACTTTAAATGTTACAAATGTGGGAAGAAAGGCCATTTCGCTGCAGAATGCAGATCAAGAGAAACTTCTGTTAAGAGAACTGAAAAAATTACTGGAGAGTATTCAAAATTATTTTTTTCTGTTTTTACAGTTAGTGAAAACACGGTACTTGATAAAAAAGCTTGGTGCTTAGATGGATAGTGGGGCAACTTTTCATTTGTGCGCGCAAGTTACATTCTCTTATCTTATCCCTATACTAAATATTTTATTATCGTTGTTTGACCTACTCAAACAACGAAATATCTAAATTGCATCCTACCAAACATTTTATTATCGTTGTTCGACCTAATCAAACAACGAAAGATCTACATTATATTTTATTATATTCTATTATCTTTAATTAAACATTGTAACTAAAAATATTGTTATCGCTGTTCAGCCTAACCAAATAATGAAATGTTCTCATTGTGTTATATTATAATTACATACCGTATTATACTGTAGCGTGCATAAGCATACACTATGTGAGTAAATAAGTATGCTGATATTTATTATACCTTTATTGCATTTTTGCAATATGAGCCCCTACCGTCAGTTTGACGATAGTGTTTGGGCTGGCGTGTGAAGACGCCAATTCAGCAAATTCTCACAGTATGCTAATGCACACTGCTCCTCCACAAATACCAACTTTGTAAAAAGATTTTAATTAATAAAACAGTCTTTAAACATAATTGAAATGATTCGGTTCTTTTTATTTAAACAAGTCGGTATACGGGAATCATCACTACAATACTTTACAATCTCTAAATAAACATTGTAACTAAAAATATTATTATCGTTGTTCGGCCTAACCAAACAACGAATTGTCTTATCACGATTCGATACTTCGAATCCTCACTATAAATATAAGCAAAGTTGTTAGTTATAAGTTACTCTTAAGATTCACTCTGTAAAACCATGTCTTGAAAAATATTAAACTACTAAATATTTTAAATAAAAAGAAAAACATGTGTTTTAATTAAACATATAATTCGCATCGTGAAATGTTTGAAGATTTTAAGCATTGCAGTGAAAACATAATGCTTGCAGGCAATAAATTTCTCAAAGCTATAGGACGTGGTAATGTGAGAATAAAAAGTCACATGGGTGAATTTATATTAAAAAATGTGTTGCATGTGCCGGTATTGCAATGTAATTTTGTTTCTGTAAGCAAGGCAGCAAACAACGGTTATAAAGTGACATTCGTTAAAAATAATGCGTATATT